ATCACATTAAATGCTTGTAGAAATTCTCAAAATCTCAAACAACAAGCTCTCAAATTCAAGGTGAAGCATTTATGACTAGTGCAGTGTGCTTAAGAATCACTAAAACATAGAATTCACTGGAACAAAAAGAAGTACAAACCATGTTATATTTCACTTCTCTTTTTATTTGGCTATGTAAACAAGTCTCGCCTAGTACATAAAGTCCTTTATGACCCAATTTAATACTTGGCATCACAACAAATTCCCTCACTATTTGAGACACTAACATGACTGATATAAACTCAAAATCAAATCAAGCTAATTAGGACAGCAAACAAAACTTGGAGCCTCTTTTATAGAAAGTCAAGAATATGTAATACATATTAAAGGCTTGAAGGAAAAATTGATTACAAGAACTCCTCATGGATCGAATTCCATGGAGAAGAACAAAAAAAAACAATCAAACTAATGTCAAGAATAAGCCAAAACCCAAATCAAAGACAATCAAACGATACCAATCAATCAACACTTCTTGAGTTATATTGAAAATACAATTCAACAATTGACCCAATAACCACAACAACTTTCTTTAATGTTTAAGAGAAAAGCATAATGGGAAAATGCCCAAAACTAAATTAAATCGATAAAGATAGTAGATAGAACTTTAATCAATTTCTTCTCAGAAGAGAACAAGTTCAGAACATCTTCTAATACATATTAAAATCTTGGGGGGAACATCATTTACAGCAATTCCACCAAAGTTATTTCAAAGATCTAATCCAACACTTGGGCACAATTCACAATAATTTCTTCACTATTTTTAACCAAAGCTATGATGGGAATAACTAGAAATTATGCTAAGCTCAATTAAGATAGCAAACATAATTGATCTAATCCTTTTTACGGAATTCACCAAAAGCATAAACTCTAAGCTTTCAATAAAAAAGAGCTGCATAAGGATTTAGGACCTTTTAAGTGACAACAATAGAACCAACAAGTGAAGCCATCAAATCCTACTAATCCATGAGCATGCTTATTTTGAGGGATTGAGAATAGGATCCATGGTATAGGAAGAGAAAAGACAAGCTTGGATAAATCATGTTTAAAGCTGTTTTGAACTCACAAGAGCATATATAAAAGTAATGTTTCAAGACACAATGGATCAAAATTTTAATATTTAAACACATCTAAGAGTCTAACAAAGGCTAGCCATGCTACAAATATCTTACAAGCATCCTTTAGAAGAGTTTTAGATCACTATGCTCTTGAACTTATGAATCCCACATAAAGGCTATAAACCGTAGCATTAGTTGATAAACTCATACCTGAGAAAAGAAATGCACGTGAGATGAAGATGTAAGCCGAGTCCTCTTGCTCACTGTTTGGTCATAGCTTTGTACCCCTTCTTTTGATTTCATCACTTTATTTGTTCTAATCTCCTTCTTTCAAACTCTCTCTTAGCCTTTTCCTTTTTTGCATCTCAGTCTCATTCTTCCTGTACCTCTTAAAGCTTTCTGCTCTCTCGAAACTTTATTGCTCTTTCTAAATTTGATCTCCACACTCAAAAATCTCTCTGAATCTTACTCCCCCTCTCCAAGCTCAGACCATTCCCCCTTTTATATAGAAGATGAATCTCATACCTGGATCTCATAAACCTAACTCGATTTGGCTTCTCCTTCAATCACATGGCACTAAATTTCATCTACAGAGCCACTTTTCTTCAACATACGAACCTAGTCTTACCTCTTTATGTTAAACTATGTCGTCTAATCCAAAAAGTAGAAGTAGGGAAGGGGTTTTCTTGAGCTTGCATGTGAGGTAATAGATGTTTGCGTACCTAACTTTGCATTCTGCCCTCTAAGATATGACCTTGGATGATTTAGGGACTGCTTGTCGTGCCTACTCTGCTTCTTGTTCATGCGTGTATCTCTTCTCTACATGTGCGGCTCGGATTCTCTCATCATTGAATGACCAAAGGTTAAATGCTTTTTGCATTTCAGCCTTCAATTTTTTTTATTATAACTCTTTTATTTTCATTTTTTAAATGATATTTATTATTGTATGTCATATTTTCAATTTAAAAGAGGAATATCTAGAATGAAGAATCTCATCTCAAATTTAGAATTTTAGAATTTTTTTTAATTTAAAAGAAAATTTTATTTAACTAATTTTAGGATTTTGTTAGATTTGTTTTAACTACCATTTTTAAATTTTAATTTTACAAAAAAAGATTATCTAGAATATAATATCTTTTCTTAATCCTAAATTTTTTTACTACCTAAAATTTAAAACAAAAGATATAACTTTTAAATTTTTAATGTTCAAACTAACTGTTCTAACTAACTAAAAGAAATAAAATCCTAACTAGTAGAAGATTATCTAGGCTAAAATAAAATTAATCGCTATTTGATTTTTATTTTTTTATGTTATTAAAATTTCATTTTTTTTTGGTTAAATGTATTATCATGATTATATTTAAAAATATTTGAACAAAATACAGTGTTCATAGACAATCTTATCAGCCATGGAGTAAAGAGACAGAAAGCTGTCACTACTCTGATACAAGAAGAATTTTCACTAGAAGGGAAATGTCTGAAAAGGCACACAGTACCAGACCCTTTATTTACTTTATATAGAGGTAGAGTTAGAAATCCTAGAATAAATAAACAGATTTACAAAAAAGTAAAAAAATAAAATTATAACAATGCCCATAAAATATCTATTAAAGAAAAACGGGCTTAGGGTTATGAAAGTATAATAGGCTTATCTTCTTCAAACTCAATCAAAAGGTTTTGGGCTTTTGTGTTAATGTTTCAACAGTTCAATACAAATTCAATAAAAACCAGCCATATTTTAATTTAAAAAATAGAATGACTATCAATTTATATATACATACACACACACAAAATTTTAGATGGGTCTATCAAGGTTATGGTATGTCTCCAGTTTAAAAGTGCTTACAAAGTAATTACAAATTGTTTATTAACAAAACCTTGACATTAACAATAAAATTTGAACCCACAATCTTATAAGTTATAGACTAAATCTTTTTCAATTGTACCACTTTTTGTTAGGAGTGTTTGTGGACATAACTTTTGTTATAAGATCAAACCAAGCAAATAACTTAATATTTATTATATTTTATATTATGGTCAATTTATTATATTTGTTAATGATATATCGTTATATATCAATAATAAACCTTTTGTAAATTTTTAAATTTTTAATAATAAATTCGTTGTATATCAATAATAAACTCTTATACATCAATTATAAATTATTATGTATCAATGTTAATCGGCCATACTCTCAAGTTTCAAAAAGTTGGTCTATATTTTCTAGGCAAAATATTTTTTTTTTGGCAATGGGCCAATTTATCCTTTTTGTTAATATTTAATTATGTGAAAACATTTTAAGTGTATTATAATTCCATTAAAAAAATTGCCAATCCAGTCATCCATTGACAATCAATCAAGTACAAAAATTAGGGTAAAACTTATATACTAATTAACCTTATATATTTAATATACTTATATCTAATTAAATCATGATAAGTGAATCTTAATGTGTTAATAAAATTAATGATGAGAATATATTATAAAATAAATAATTTACATAAAGATCCATTTGTCTTAATTTAATTAAAAACCAATATATAAGATTAAGTATATAAGTTTTTTCCTAAAATTTATTCCTTTTTTTTCACCAAGAAACATGAAATATCATTGAAAATCGGAGGGTTTACAAAAATAAATGAAGTACAAAAAACAAAGTATAAATAAGAGAAATAACACAAAAAAAAAAAACCATAAACCTAATAGAAAATGACATAAAGATTAAAAATAAAAAAGAAATGACACTACCAAAATTCTCACAAGCCTTATGTCAAAACTAGACTGCACAAAATGTCGTCGCTATTGTGAAAACTCCAAGAGATTAAAAGTTGCATTGGGAAATAGGGATGAGGATTCATAGAACCATTATAATAGTATCATCCCTATGTATATAATAATTGCCACCCAGATAGCATATTTGCCACTTCAACAAATCAGATTCCATGTAAAAAGAACTAAAACTACAAGTAACAACAACAAACTAGTTACTAGCATCAAAAAAAAAGCACTCCCATCTCTGTTGCAAATCACTGCCTATCTAACTAAGAAGCCCAGGCCAATACCCCTAATAGTACTCCCATCTCCCATCTCTTAGCTTATGATAAGAAATTACAAAACCTATGATTAACTATCGCACAAATCATCACTTTTTTGGATAAACAACCTTTGCCTTATTGCTGCCAATTGAACACCATTCCCATCTCAACAACTCAAATCAAGGGAAGAAATAATTTACACCAACAAAAAGAGACAAAAAACCAACTACACACCTATCCAAACTGGACACCTTTCTCATGACAGAAGTTGGCAAGAGAGTCATTGGAGAATAAAGATTATAAACAAGATTTTTCATTGACATAGAGAGAAACTCATAAGGAATCTCTAGAAGAGGAAAATTATAATATTTATCACTTTGTAAGATGAAGTTATCAACGCAAGGAATAAAAATAATTCAATATATCAACGCAAGGAACCATCTAATCAAATCAAATAAAAATTATTCCTTGTTTGTATTAACGCAAGGAATCATCAAATTATGGATTTTAATTAATTTAATTTAATATATCATCATAACATAATAAGATGATTAATCTTTAGCCGTTACACCGCGAATTCAGAAATGGCTCTCATCTATGCTATTATTGTATGGGAAATTTTTAGGCATGCCACGTTACTTAAAATTTATTCAATAAAAACATAATATTCACATATAATTGAATATAAATTAATTTTTAACATTAAGAATAATAAAAAAATTAAAAATTAAACATATATTTTATTATAAAAATAAAATTAATTAAAAATATTTTATTTAAATTGATTTGGAACATTTTAATTGATCAAATTATAAATCATAAATTACGTGGCATTAGAATTTCTCATTAATGTAGTGTTACCTATGGGATATGGCACTACAAGCCGCCGTGAACTCAACAATGAAGTTGGGTTTTACTCCAAACGCCATTTCAAATTCCTCCTTCTCACCTCCACGCGTTCTCACTCTTCCTCCTTCACATCCCTTCTCTGCTCAATCCCCTGCTAACAATCCATCCTCCCCAGGTTCAGGTGTGTGTGTGTGTGCACTATCTCCTTCTCCTTCTCTAGTTTGTCTTTCGCTTTAATATTTAAGATTGTTTAATGAGTCCCTGTTAAATTTCTCTGGGATGCTAGTTTGGGTAACTCTTGATACTAGTTTTCTTCCCTCTGTGTGTGTGTGTGTGTGGGTCTTTTTTAACCTGATACTGATTTATTCGTTATGATCGGCTGATCGCCATTTTAAATACTTCCTTCACGTGATATTAGGGGGTTTTTTATTCTATATCTGCGATTTTTTTTTTTTTGGGCTTTGCTGAAAGTTCTGTTCTTTTTTATGTTGCTGCGAAGGGAGAAAGAAATCAATTTTGCTTGCGCAAAGTACTCAGCATAAAAGTGAACCGATACCCAGTTATTTGATGGCTTCAGAGCAGAAGTCTCCGGAATTGAACAGAAATCTTTACCCGCAAATAGAGCCGTATGGTACAGGGTTTTTGAAAGTTTCGGATCTACACACAATCTACTGGGAGCAATCAGGAAACCCAGATGGGCATGTGAGTAGTCACTGGTTTATTGGCTGCTTAGATATGCAAAATTTGTTTGAAGTATTGTTTGTACTTTGACTTTTGAAACTGTATTTTGACTTTTTAAGCTTGTATGCTTATTTGATTGATCTTGGAGTTGGCTGGGTTGGGAATAGATGGACTATTGTTAAGTTAATGATTCTATCAAGATTGATTTCTGATGCAACTGAGCGAGATCTTAATGTTAAATTATCTCATGGATCATCCCGTAAAATGGGAGGGAGTCAATTGTGAGCAATCGGTGTTCTTTTCTTGCTGAGATGTTAATGCATGATTCTGATGGTTGGGAAAAGACTCCGTTTCTGTGGGAACCATGATGCAATATTGTACTCACTTTTGGTGCTTGCTGACAATTTCTTGAGTTGATAATAGGGAATTTATGGAATTTTTATGCATTCCTTAATCCTGATGGCTTGTTAGTTTGGGAAGGATTTTGAATGACTAGCTGGCTGACACTCTGGTTCTCTTTTCCCAAATTACCATGTCTATTCTTCTTGCCATTGAAATTCTTGTAATACTCCCACATTTGGGGTAGAAATGTGACAAAGGGTTGTTGGCTGTCAAAGCCTATTTAAATACATGCATGAGTGAATAGGTTTAGCATTTTGTTTTCTAGTTTAATTTGATATTAATCTTTTGTTTTTTGTTTACCATTCATAGTTTGATTGAACATTTCTTCTGATTCAATTTATTGCCATTGTTTTAATAATCCAATCCATGTAATAACACTTGTTGTTTTAATATTCTAATCATTTGACTTACCAAAAGAAAAGAATCATGAAAAAATTTGGTTAATCACATTGAAACATTGTTCTTGCAGCCTGTTATCTTCCTTCATGGGGGCCCTGGAGGTGGTACTTCACCGAGTAATCGGAGATTTTTTGACCCTGAATTTTATAGAATTATTCTATTTGATCAGGTTTGTTTCTGATTGTATGCTATAATAATATATGATGCTTTTGCTTGATGATGAATGCTCCTTTATCAGCGAGGCGCAGGAAAAAGTATGCCCCATGCTTGCTTAGAACAGAACACCACATGGGATCTCATTGATGACATTGAAAAGCTAAGGGAACACTTGGAGATTCCAGAATGGCAGGTAATAGGTCATTTCTGGTTTCAGAATATATTTGTGATTCTTATATGGTAGGCTATGATATTCTCTTCCTTAAATTATCCAGGTATTTGGTGGGTCTTGGGGAAGCACGCTTGCTCTTGCATACAGCCAGTCACACCCAGAAAAGGTCTGTAACTTTGTTTTGATTTTGGTTTGATCTTATTTTACAATCTCTCAAATGAAGTCTTATTTTTATTTTATTTTTTTCAACATTATTTTCCTTTTGAAAATTGTATAAGTGATTACTCAGATGAGTAGTTTATTTTCTTGCTGTTCTTGCTCACTTCTTATGATAGATATATGTATTTTTCTAATTTTGTTCCAAGGTTACTGGCATAATCCTCAGGGGAATTTTTCTTTTGCGAGAGAAAGAGATTGATTGGTTTTATGAGGGTGCTGCTGCTGCAATATTCCCTGATGGTATGTACCATATGCTGTTCATTGGTTTCTTTGCCTGGAAAATTCCTTGTGCTGTGAATACATGTCATGCACCATTTTATTTAAAGATTTGAATAGGTTTCTTGTTCTGTTATATATGGAAGCATGCTGGAGCATCATGTTCAGCTTCTTTCAATGCAAAGGAACATGTGCTGATATTTATGATAATATCGCTGTTTTTATTCCAGATCTCTTGTTAATTTGGTATTCTCGGTTTTTTATTTCCATTAATCTCATGTATGGTTGAATATGATGTTTTTTGCCTATTAAATTCCCAAGGAATTAAAGTGGCTGATAACTTGTGCTTGTGATGGCAGCTTGGGAGCCATTTAGAGATTTAATTCCAGATAATGAGAGAGGATGCTTCATTGAGGCCTACAGGAAGAGATTAAATTCTGATGATATGGAAACTCAAGTGAGTGTCTGGTTTCCTCTGCATAGCTTTCCACATTTTTCTTCCCCTGAATTTTCTTGTGTTGTTATTTGAATGTCTAAGCTATATTCCCTCTTTTGGCCTGAATTTTAAACTGTCAAGTATATGAAGAGTTAAAGAGAAATGAATAATTTTCTTTTAGACGTTTCTATTTTGATCTTTATTCATGAAGCAAGGCATCTTGTTTTTGTTTAGTTTCCTATGTACATAATTGTGGATCTTTATTGTGTCCTGAGGTCCATCTTTTTACTTTGCATTAGCTATAATCATGTCATGCACTCACTATTGACCGTTGTCTTGTTTGTATTGGAAAAATATTATTTAGTATGGCATGTTGTAGAACATTTTACACTTACCTCTTATTTTGAAGGAAATGAAATTCTCATTAGTGATGAGTTGTTTTAGTGATCTATGTTTTATAAATTATACATTAATCTCTAATTTCATGTAATCATGTGTTTAGTATACCAATCATACCTAGGAGTACCGTTCAAATTAGAGGTTTCTATTTGCCTTTCTATCTAAAACACATTGATATATTTTTTTCTATTGCTGCTTCTACTAATTTGGCCATCAGACATACTGTCACCAAGTAAAACATCTGTTCTACAACTTTCAACTTTTCCCTGAAATAATAGAAGATGTGGTCTTCTATGATGTTACTTATTGTTGACAAAATAGTTATCGGGAGAAAAGGAAGTGTCTGATAAGATAACAATAGAGACCTACTCAAGAAGGAAACGACCAAAGCTGAATTAAGTTTTATTTTAATTATTTTTATTTAATTATTTGATTTGAATTTTGAATTATTTAGGAGAGGTTTTAGGAGATTTTATTAAGATATTTTGTTATTTAGATTTTATATCCAGATATTTAGTTATTTAGATTTTATGTAGATATTTAGTTATCTTGGATTGTCTTTAGCATTACAAATATGCCTAGTAACTTAGCAGTGGGCATATCATGAATAAAACAGTTTTTTGAATCCTTTGGAGATTCTTCTACATGTGGCTATTAAGATAGATATGGAGCAAAATTCTTGATCTATATTATCTTGATAGAATTACTCTTCCTATTATCAGTTTTGAGCACCTAACAGCGACCCTATCTTTTGGAATGAAATTAATGTAGCCAATCGATCCGTGGAATTGAGAATATTGTGAATTTGAATTGAACGTCAGATAAAAAATCAAAACTGCTCAAAGACTAGGGTTGGGAACTGATAAAAGATTGTTTTTTGGCCATCATTATGAAGAGATTGATGCCTTGCTGAAAGAGGCAGAGAGATGTCAGGCTTTCAGTTGTTTGATGAATTCACAGGAAATTGTATTTGCATGATTATATTTCCTTCTTATGTTCTCTTCATCTTGCAGTATGCAGCTGCTAGAGCATGGACCACATGGGAAATGATGACTGCACATCTTATTCCAAATGAAGAGAACATCAAAAGGGGTGATGATGATAACTTTTCACTGGTAGGTTTAAATAACAAATGTGGAATAGAAGACTTTGGCTTATAGACCTTTGTTTTAATAAATTGTTTCATGAAGATTGCCTAGCATAAACTCCAGAGTCAGCTTCTTTTGATTTACTTTGGATTTCATCTTTACAATGTTAATCTACTTGAGCTTAATCTGATTTTTCTTGTGTCCGCCTTTACAGAATTGAGGTAATCTCCCAACAGAATTCTTGTAAACATTGTACAGACTCAACTTATAATTGTTGATACATCTGGGAGAGGTCACATAATGATAATAATTTTTCTCTGGTTATGAATTTCATTATTTGTTTAGAGTACTTCTTGCCTCTATAAACAAGTTTTCGAATTTTTTTTTTAATGTTAGCACTATTTCAGTTGTGGCAACTATAGAATGTTCTGTTCTGATAATCTGATGAAAAAAGACATGGAGAAGTTAAATTGTTTTGTGCTCTAAACACATTACTATGTGCTTCTATGTATTGATGCTTAATTATGAAGATGTCTGCATTTTATTTGTATGGTGTATCCCTAAATGCAGACTCAATTACATATATTAATAGCAATTTTTCTGCAGTTATGAATTTCATTATTTGTTCACCAAATCTTTTTGCTGTATATATTTTAAACTTAAAGGTTAATTCAATTTCAGAAGTGTCAACTGCAGAGCACTCTAAAGAAGTGGAGAAGCTAAATTGTTTTGCTACCCTGCTTGGTGCTTTCATATATTGTTGCTTAATTATTAAGAGGCTGGCGTTTTATTAGTATTCTTAATCTTAATTTTGAACTTGCTTCTTTAGCATATTCTTATTTATCACTGAGAAAACCAATTTATTGCGAGACTTCAACATCTTCATTCTTCTCCCTTCTTTATTTAGGATTGATATATGACTGTGTTGATTATGCTGATGACATTATTTTATGTCTTTTTGTAGGCATTTGCAAGGATTGAAAACCATTATTTTGTAAACAAGGGATTCTTTCCATCAGATTCATTCCTGTTGGATAATGTTGATAAAATAAGGCATATCAACACTATAATTGTACAGGTATAAGCAACTTCATAGCACCTTTGATTTTCTTACTCTCCATTTCCAAATGTTAATTTATTAGGAAACATGTTTGCTTTGCAAAGTTAAAATTTTGTTCATCTTTTTTCCCCTAAAAGAGCAATCAAATCGTATAAAGAATCACTAATGCTATTTTACTTTTTAGTGTGAGTGCCAATAATGACCATCAGAATTCAAGTGTAGTGAATTGCACTGTTTATGGCTAATGATCAGTTCAACTCATATCGAGCTCTTTGCAGAGATACACAGGACTCACTCTGATTATTTTTGTCTTTTACTAATTATGTTTAGACTCTTGGTAGAAATGCTGGAGACATCTCTTGGATTTGTTTTGTTTTGTTTTGTTTTGTTTTTTAATTTTCATCCTGTTTTGAAACTGTTGAGCAAATATGACAACATAAATTCCACCATTTGTAGTCACTGTCATGTTTTTCAATGAAAATGTGGACACAGGAAATTTGGCCTCGTTTGGTCATATGGATGGGAAAGAATTAATTTTCCATCTTTGCTATGTTCTTGTAATTATTATTCAAGAAGTATCTGTTTCCATTTTTTTATATAAAAAAAAACTTTTTATCTTTAGGGATATGGGAGTTATATTTCATTTTCTAAATGACTAATTATATTTTCTGTTCCATTTCGTTCCATTTTTCTTATCAAATGGCAATAACTTACGATTCATAACTTTGCAGGGAAGATATGATATTTGCTGCCCAATGATGTCAGCCTGGGATCTTCATAAAGCTTGGCCAGAGGCAGATTTTAGGGTGAGAGAAAAATACTGCTGTTCTATGATTATTTTTTCAAGTTCCATAGATCTTTAAGTCGCATTCTTCAGTCAATAATGTGATGATGAATTAAATCTTGAAAAAACGCCAACATGTAATATTTTTATCCAAAAAAAAAAAAAAACTTGAGATGAAACACAATAGTTGATGAAAAATGGTCCTCCTGCCCTTACATTAAATGTGATAGAAAAAGGATAAAATTTCAGCTTAGTGATATTAAGAAAAAATATAATAGCCACTGCATAAAAAATTGGGGGAGGGGGGAAGCTTTACCCACGTCTTGCCCAATACTCCCTTTGGTCCTATATTTAAGTCAATTTTAATTATTCACCAGAACTAAAGGGAGGTTCTTAAATTATTAATGTTGTTTGAAAATGAAGGAAATTTTACCCTTTACCCCTATTGAATACATTATCTTTAAAAATATTCTCATCTGTAACCTTTTACTTTATTATCGATAAAAAATTGTGTAAGGGTAAAATTAGAAGAAAGTAATAATATTCCACTTTTTTTTGTTATACAAAATGAGTTAATAAAAAGGACTACCAATTCCTTCTAGAAGATGACTTATATAGGACCAAAGGAGGTACCAAATTTCTCGTTTACAATTCTGTTGTTGTGGCATCAAGAATTTGCATTGGTGAGCATTTATATAGATATATATTTGTTTGGAAAGAGAATTTTCTTGTTTATGATTTTTTCCCCCCAAGACAATGTTTCTCTGGAAGTTTGATTACTCTTGAACTTATATATGCATAACATGGTCCAGTTACTGAATCACACTACCATGAAAACAGGTGGTTGCAGATGCAGGTCATTCAGCGAATGAACCAGGCATATCTGCTGAACTTGTGGCTGCAAATGAGAAACTGAAAAACCTGATCACCAATAAGGCCTGAACTGACTGACTCAGAACACACGCATATCTGCTGTGCAGAAATGCTGGTTTATTGTACCTAGATTGCAGGAAAGGTCCTTAACCTCTAAGAAACAAATAAAGACCCAGCTGGAGGGTTGTTCTCAGGGTCTGATGATGGAATTGGTTACGATTATGTTGTTAGTGGATTTGGTTTTGTGATGGAAGTGCTATAAAGCCTACAATATTATTTTGGTTTTGTACCTAGATTGTAGGAAAGCTCCTTAACTTCTAAGAAACAAAAAAGACCCAGCTGGAGGGTTGTTCTCAGGGTCTGATGATGGAATTGGTTACGATTATGTTGTTAGTGGATTTGGTTTTGTGATGGAAGTGCTATAAAGCCTACAATATTATTTTGGTGGTGCGTTTCCTCAGATGTTATATCAGTGAAATGTAAATTATTCTCTCATGAATTTTATGTCATGATAATTTATAAAGAATTATTATAATAATTTATTGAAATATTTGAAGATAACTTTTCTTCTACTTATAGTTTTCTAGCTTGGCTCTTTGAAAATTTCGGTGAATTCGTTTCTCAGACAGGAAAAACCATGAGTGAATAGGTTTGCGTAAACAAACATGCCCAAAATCGAAGTTATTTTCTTCTGTTTTGGAAGTAAAAAAAAAAAACACACATATCAGAACCGTATCATATCTTCTTACAGAAATAGCATCATAAATAAACATAAACAATTACAAATGAATCATCTATGTTACAACAAACATGGTTCTGAATCATCAAATTTTGCCTACGCCTCTATATCAATCAAATGGCCTCATAACAATCATCAGGAAGCCACTATCACGAATTCAATGATATTATTGAACATCAGACACAAACCCCACCAATAATAAACTGCAAATAAAGGGGTAAAAGAGAAAAAATGTAGAAAGAAGAAGAAGTTCAAGTCATTTTTTTGGTGCAGCTCTTCGGCACATGGAGACTCTGAAAGTTTGGTTCCTTTGGAACAGTTAAAATAGTCTTCCTGGGTCTTGAACGAGAACTGGAATTGGCACTGCAAACTTTACTTCTAGATGAGTCGCTATTATTACCAGCCTTTGCTGCTTCCTTAGGCTTTGGATTAGATGAATTTTCATCAATTGCACTGAGATGCTGCTTACCAGGTGTTACAAAAAGACCGTTCTCTTTCTTCCTTGATAAAGCACTGCACAATACGACCATGCTATAACTTTTTCTTAGTTCCGAGGCAAGTGTTTTGACACTAGTGATGATGTAGATTAATTTTGAGGCTAAATTGTTATATTTATTGAACAAGTCAAAGCTGTTTAAGAATTAGTAGTTTAATTCGATCATGATTAAAATAATATAATTTAATTAAAATATATAAAAATATTCATATTTGACCATATTTAGTACACCTTCTCTTCTACTATTTCAACTAATTTGGGCCCACTCAGGGAAAAATGTCTGTAAGAAGGAAATTTTTTTAAAGATCAAAACAATGTCATTTTTACTTGCCAAAAAAAAATCCATTTTTAAGCTTAGGAGGGGTGAAAAATACATATAATATACAACCCAATAAACCCCATCCAACCCATCAGATTAGCCAAGTTACATCAGGTTAATCCTAGGTTATATGGGCTAAACCTAGGTTTGGTCAAAATGATGTCATTTTTAGGTTCATAGGGAAAATATATATATATGTGTGTGTGTGTGTGTGTGTGTATAACATGTAACCCAATCAACTCATTCAACCCACCAATTTACATCGGGTTAACTAAAGCTAAGCGTAAGTTGGTCAAAACGATGTTGTTTTCATGCTCAAGAGGGGCAAACAATATATGATATTCAACTCAGTCAGCCCATCCAACCGACTTGGTTAGCCGGGTTAATCTTGGCTCGATCACTTGACCAAATCCGATAAGGTGACCGATTCATTGGGTTACCAATCCAGCTAGCTGGATGTGTCTGGGTTTCAATACCATGGTTCTGATAAATAAACTATTGGAATCGGAGTAAACAAAGTGACTATGAACTAACTTACCTTCTTGGCCTTACTAGTTTGGGCTGTGTCATATGGGACGTTCTTTTAAAGTTGTCATCCAATTTTTGAGCTGCCTTTTCTCGTTGTTTTGGCCGTTCCGCGGTATCGATAGGTTTCTGAAATTTAGGGCCATCTCTTCTTTGGGGAGTGGCATATAATCTGTTCACTTCCATATTGGAGTTTCCAAGGACAGAACATTGAATGCTTACCTACATTAACATTTAATATGCTTCAGCTATTTCTTTCTTGTCTCTAATATTTCATATTGTAATAATATTCAAAGGACACCATACTCATGATCCTCTTCACATAAACTTACAGATTTATCTCCTTCCGTTGCATGGTTTGTTCTGTCTTCGCAGCTGTTATTATCGGAGTCTTGTTCATTCCTCTGATGGAAAAACAAGGAACGCATACTTCAGTGAAGTTTGACGTACGTAATTTGAAAGATTGTGCCTTTGTGTCTAAAATATGTATTCTCGAAGTGCCAGACATGATCACGCGTCTTTGAGTGCATATAGAGCTCACATATTATTTACTAATAAGAAAGCAGTGGAATGACATTACATTTTAATACAAAATTTTGAAGTTAAAATTTAATAATTTTTTTATTATATATTAATTATTAAGTCTAATTTTATCCAATGTAACACTTTCCACATCAGCTTCGCTCTAGTCTACTTGGACAACTAAACATATTTAAAATGAAACTTACTTGGATTACACGTTTCCTCATTGTTTTGCCTCCTTTAGCGGTGGTTTCTTTCAAGGGTGAGAGAGGTTTCTTTTCCAAGTTTGCCTCCTTGAGAATTCCTCTTTCCTGAAAGCAACCAAAAAACATGAAACGAAGAGTTAGCTACTGTAACGTCTTTGAAGATTCGAACTTCATGAAACCAACAATAACAGAACATCCTTACTCACATCTGTTCTCAGCTTAAAAGGCTTGGGATTTGTTGGCCTTAATTTTCTGTATTTCACAACTTTAGATCCAGTTGTTGCATTAGATGTAGGTTTCTGTTTCCAAGCCATAATAATCAAATCTTCATTCTAATGTATCAAGAACGAAATAAAGCATAAATTTTGAAGTTTTGCTTCAAGATAAAAGCATATTTTGTGAATCTGAAAACAGCATTAATGAAATTCTGAAATTGATCTTACCTTCTGTTTTTTCCTCAACTCATCATTCTTGGGCTTTTCAAGGTTGTTATGATTGACAACAATTGTTCTGTGGAAAAAATGATTAGATTATGAAATTGAGGAAGCAAGTGATACTCCTGTTATGATCAACTTTGATGCAAATTAAATCTATACCTATTCTCATCAGGGGCTGAAGCATTTTCATTGAGTTCAAGCACATTTTCTTTATTATCGTCATCAGATGCCAAAGAATTCTCTTTATTATCATTTCTCTTATCGTCATCAGATGCCAAAGAATTCTCTTTATTGTCATTTCTCTTTGCAGCTTCTGGGATTTTTTCCCTTTTCTCCTCATTTTCTGTGCAATAGTCTTCACTACTCTTCTTCTCCTCCGCTTCTTCTGAACTTGTTGATGATTTATGACATCTTTCAAGAGAACCATCCCTTGATTTCTCATCGATCTCCATGTCACTAGAATCACCATGGTCAACAATAGATCCTTCATGAATCTGAGAAGCACTCTTTAATTTCTTTTCCCCTTTCAAACATCTGTTAGGATACAAAGAATCAAACACACGGCTCTTAACCTCACGTCCCTTGAACTTCTTTCTAGAAGCTTCTTCATTCTTCTTCTTTACGCTATCAATCTCAAGCTTCTTCATTGCTGAACACAGAGATTTCATGGGTGTCTTTTTTAGTTCCACAGATCTCTTGATCTTCACTGCTTTTTTCGGTGAGTGAAATACAAGAGTTTTAGCTATTACTCTGTTCTTAGGCACAGCCACATTCAATGCTTCTTTTTTGCCTTGCACAGTTCTGAACTGATCTATATTCAAACTCTTCTTTTGTTTTCTGGGAGTAGTAAAAGCCTTAGCCGTAGCAGATGATTGCTTCACCTTAGAATTTTTTGGGGTTGCATTAACCTTAGAAAGAGGTCTTGTTCTTGCCTTGTCATAATCACCAATCTTTTTGGAAAATGATGAAATCAAAGCCAATCTTGAAACCCTTGTCTTGGAAGATTTTGCTGGAGCTGTAAGTGGGCATTTCAGATTTGCACTAAGAACCCAAAAAAAAAAAAAAAAAGAAGAAGAGGATGAGTATTATCAGCAAAAATTTTAGTTGAAGTGACTAAGGGAATAAGTAATAGGTCTTTTTCGTTACGTTGCTTCTCTTTTATTCAGTGCTTTTCTGAGGCGAACATTTGGACTTCTTGCTGCCATAACCTGTAAAAGCCAATAGTCACTCACACCATTGTGTTGATACTGGGAATTTGATCAAATATCACTGAAGTGAAGTTCAAGAAGAGTGAAACCAGAACCGACCCGAAGGACAAAATTCTTGTAGATTGCTTCAGAATCCAACTCTTCTTCATGATTTTGGTCACATCCTGGCCAGGAGGAATAACATACGAGTGTAATAGACTTAAAATTTTCATGCATGTTTGCACAGTCGATCAGCGTGAATGTAAAGTAGTGAAAAAAGTCAAGAAGTGAAATATAATATTACCAATAAACTCATCACATGCAGCTGAAAGAAACACAGGAAATGATACAATTCTGACATAGACATACACTAGCACAATCGGATTCAGAGAAATTTGTATATCAGACTGTATAATTTGCATTCAGCATCACACTCTTATCCGAGAATGAGTATATATGATTAAGATCGGGTTTCATTTATTTGGAAATTTTAAGAGTTCTATCATACTGATCAAGAAATCTAATTTCCAGTTAAAGTCGCGAGTAAACGAGTGAAAACTTAATTTTCAGTTAAAGCAATTACCAACGCGAGAGCAGAACCAGTAGCGATCTTCATGAGAACGGCGAATCTCCGGTGCGGTGAAGTCAACGAACTTGGGCGCTTCGATCTTCTCGTAAAACTCCTCATCTATTTTCTCTTCTTCGATCGCCGGCAACGATGGAGCTTCCGCCATTTCCTATCCTGAAGAGCTTTCACGCAGAGAGAGAGAGAGAGAGAGAGAGAGAGAGATGAGAGATGAGAGAAGCAGAGGAGCGTGGTGTGGGCCGAGATGAAGGAAGTTGGAGGTTGCGACGAGAGACAATTTTAAATTCGTTAGTTCCGTAAGTAGCCGTTGGAAAATTCGGACAGGCTGGTAAGAGAAACGGCATTGTAGGGGTGATTTGGTAATTTCGTTAGTGCAGGCTTTCTGGGTCCTGGCATAAAATTTTTTTCCAAAGCGGCCCATTGATAATGAAAAGAAAGATGAAGGTCTCATTACGGCCCTAAAAAAGTTGGAAGGCAAAGACTATTTTCTCTAAACTAGTTTTCTTTTTTTTTTTTTGTGCATGAGATAAATAATAATTTAATTTTCTTAACAAATTATACTTATTTATTAATTTAATAATAAAATATTACTGAAATATAAAGAAAAATTGAAGTAATGAATAAGTGTTGGATGGATTCTTAAAAAATGTGAAGAACTGAAATAATAAAACAATTACAGAGTCCAAGATGAAAGTTGTATTATTGGTTATATTTTATTAATGTAACTACCAATAATTTTCTTACCTTTTATATTAGTATTTGAAGAGGTATTGTTAGAAAAAAAAAACAATTAAAGAGTACTATTTTGAATTTCTTTATTATTAACCAAAGTGTTTTACAGTGATGGATTTAGGAGGGCAAGCACCCACGTGACAAATTTTTCGACAAACTTACTTGGATTTTCCTTGTAAAAAAATGATACAATTAATTCTTGCCCCTACTATTATGTAATTTTACATTTCAGCCCCCATGCTACTGTTTCTAGATCGATCACTAGAGTTATAATTTTTTTAAGTACAAGATCTTGGGTTCGAATTCTTGTAAATGTAAAAAAAAAAATGTAGTTTGAAAATATATTTTTAATTAAGCCTGACAATATTAAAACTATATATAAAAAAAATCTTGAGTATTTTGAATAATATGAATTTTTGGAATGTGAGGAGTACGCAAATATATATATATATATATATATTATGACCTTTTTCTTTTAGTTTCCCTCACTTTTATAGTGAATCGAATTCGAAGATAAAAGATTTGTTTTCTCTTTTACTTTAAACACATTTTAAAGGCTTTAAATCTTAACAGATTTAGTTATCTCTCATTTATCATTCTTTTTTTTTACTTTAAGGATACTTCAAGAACTTTTTATTCAAAAAATCAAAACGAATGTAGTAAACTGTGACGAAGATATAATTTTGTTTGGTTAAATTATAAAAATAAAATTAATGAACTTTATCCAATTGGCTGGTCGAAATATATGATGATGAGCTTGTAAATGATGTAAAAGTGCTTTAAAAAAAAAATCAGACAAGTAGTATTTCCAGTAAAACGATTACAAATAAATGAGCTTCCGGAACAAAAACTAAAAACCCAGATAAAAAAAAAGAGAGACTGAAAATAGTACCACCGAAGACAAAAAGAGAGCCAATAGTACCGACAACAATAAAGATAACAGAAAAGGTCAGCATTGCTAAATTGTGGTCCAACTGGTGATAATTTTGAAAGCTCACGTAAAAGTAACAAGTAACCCGATCAAAAAACTGGTCTACTCCTTATTCCTGAAGTTGAAAATGTGGAAATTATGGAAGACCTTAGATTAATATCCTTGTGCAATGTCAGTTACAATAATTTCTAAGGTTATTACCAACTGATTGAAGCCTATTATGAACAAAGTGGTGGAGAACATCAATACAGCTTCATTGCAGGCAAGCAAAGCAGTGACAACATAATTGTGGCTTAGAAAATCATTCACTCTATGAAAGTCAAGAGAGGAAAGAATGGCCATATTGCAGTGAAGTTGATCTTGAGAAAGCCTACGATAGAATTGAGTAGCCTTTTCTCAAAAAAAACTCTCAAAAAGCTTGGAATTTATGATAACATGGTCGATTTGATAATGGCTTGTGTTGAAAGTGCATCGATTCAGGTACTATGGAATGGTGAAGCCTACAAGGAAATTAAATCATCAAGGGGGCTTAGACAAGGAGATCCAATTTCTCCTTACCTCTTTAGTCTATGTATGGAGAGGCTTAGCCATATTATTGAAGATGAAGTTCAGAGAGGGCACTGGAAACCTTTTAAATTCTTTAAGAATGGCAAGGGTATTTCTCACCTATTCTTTATAGATGATCTTGTCCATTTTGGTGAAGCATCCACCACTCCAATGGAGGTTATGATGAATTGCATTAACTCTTTTTGTGAGGCTTCTGGCCAAAAAGTGAATATAAACAAGATAAGGATGTGTGCTCCTAAGAACGTCCATTTTTCTTGAGTTTGATTTGAGTTCTTGCTTATGAGTGTCTCTCACCGAAGATTTAGGGAAGTACTTTGGCATTCCCTTACTTCATAAATGTGTTACAATTAGAATTTTTGACCCCATTATAAAGAAAGCTAGGACAAGATTGTAGGGATGGAAAGGAAAATTATTATCTATAACAGGTAGAACTTGTTGTGTGTGTGTCAAAAGTGTGTGTGTCAAAGTCCCACATTGACTAAAAGAAGGAATCTCCTAGTGTATATATACTAAGGAATGAAGTGGGCTAGTAAAATGGGCTTGGAGGAGAAGTGGCTTTGCGCACATGAGACAGGCCAACTCAGGACAATCGCAGTTGAAATCAGCCGATTCACGCCCCCCCTGTGCGCGAGTTCAAGAGGCACTGGGTTCCTTTTACCGGGTTATTTTTCCAAAAATGATTAAATAAATAATTATTTTTAGCTTACTCAAAAAACCTTTGATTTTACTGTTTTGAATTTGAACTTAAGGCTTTGGCAGTTTTTAGACATTAAACCTCTTCTGAAAACCAAATTTTGTAGGTTAATGTTTTGTCTGCCAAACATTTCCAGATTGATGAACGCTGAACGTTTTTGAATTAATGTACGTGCACGGTTTTGCTGTTTAAGGCGTGTGTACCTAAAGCATTAATCCAGGAACGTTCGTTGTTTAATGTGTGTGTAACCGAAGCATTAACCGGTAATTATAACCTAACATTTGTGTCTCCTTCCTTAGCCTATAAATAGATATGGGTGCGTAAAGAACAGTGTGCCAGCGTTCTCTCCTCCCTCTGTCTTCTGTTCGTCTACTCGTCTGGGCTTATTTTTAGTCGTTGTTATTCTATTCCCTTGCTCCACCGCAGGAAGTGCTTGTTTAATCCTGGGGAACTGTCGGTCCGTCGTCCAAGTGTACTGGAATAGTTCTTAAGGACAGTGTCCTTTCGAGCATGACTCAAGCAATTAGAAGTTCGCTGTTCGCGTCTGCATTTGGTGCCGCCAACAATCTTAAGAACTAGTCAACCCAATGGTGACCAACGGTGTTGAGAATGTCACCCCCAAAGGTGTGCCCAGTGGTTCGGCTGGAGGTCAGTACGTCCTTGCCGCAGTTGCCGTCCCCCTACCGAGGCTGTTCCCAGACATATCGAAAATAGAAGTCTTGGATGGCCAAAACTTCAAACACTGGCAGGAATGTATCTTCACCGTTCTTGACATGCATGGTGTGGCGGCTGCTCTTGCTCAATCCGAGCCTCCTGCTAATACTGATCAAGCCAAAGAGTTGCATGGACTCATGCAAATAAGGTATGCCGACACACTATCATTAGCACTTTATTTAATGATTTGTTCGATGTCTACTGTGTCTACAAGGAAGCTTGTAAGATATGGGAGTCCCTGGTGATAAAGTACACTGCTGAGGATGCCGGCAAACAAAAGTTTATTGTAGGCAACTACTACAAATGGGAGATGACTGAGAACAAGGATGTCAAGGAGCAAATCAACAAATATCATAAGTTGCTGGAGGAGCTTCGTGCTAAAAACATCAACCTTCCAGACGAGTTCGTTGCTGGGATACTGATCGAGAAGCTGCCAGAATCATGGTCTGACTATAAACAGCAGCTGAAACACAAACAGAAGCAGCTATCCTTGACTGACTTGATCACTCACATCATCATCGAAGATACCAACTGCAACGCAATACGTGTAGCTCGACCCAGAGAAATGACATCCAAAGCCTGGTGGAGACAAAGCTCACAGTAAGAGGTATGATTCTAAAACTAAAAACAAGAAGAATAGAAAATCTGATTACAAACCCAATGCTTCTAACCCCTCTTTCAAAAAGAAAGGAGACTGTTTTGTCTATGGTAAGCCAGGATACTATGCAGCACAGTGTAGGAAGAGAGTAAACCGTGATAAGCCTTGGAAGCCAAATGTAAATTTGGTACAATGAGATGGTGACAGTGATGATGACATTATTGCTGCAGTGGTGTCACAAGCTCTCTTGATTTCTGATGTGAAGAAATGGGTGGTAGACTTCGGGGCTACCAGGCACATATGTGCTAGCTAAGAGATGTTTACTACCTATAATCCTGTAAAGGAAGGGGAAGACCATGTTTACCTTGCTGATTCCTGAACTGCTAAAGTTTAAGGAAAAGGGAAAGTGGTCTTAAAGCTCACATCAGGAAAGATCTGGCTCTGAACGATGTTCTACATGTGCCTGAAGTTAAAGTTAACTTAGTGTCAGTTGCTCTTTTAGGGAAAGCTAGGGTTAAAGTGTTATTTGAATCTGACAAGATTGTAATGACAAAAAATAATGTGTTTGTAGGCAAAGGGCACTGTAATCAAGGACTGTTTGTTTTGAATGTTGATAAAATGAACAAGACTGAATCTTCTGAGTATATGCCTGTTTATATGGTTGATTCTTTTGATCTGTGGCATGCTAGACTAGGTCACGCTAGTAAAGGTTATATAAATAGGATGCGACAACTTGGACAACTTTCTGAAATTAAAAACAATAATTTTGGAAAATGTGAAGTATGTGCAGAAACTAAACAAAGTAAAAAACCTCATTTTTCTAGTCAAAGAGAATCTGAATTACTATCTTTAATTCACACATATTTAGGTGACTTAAAACAAACCATGACTAAAGGTGGTAAAAAATATTATATCACTTTTATTGATGATTTTTCAAGATATACTAAATTGTACTTGTTAAAAAACAAAGATGAAGCTTTTGAAAAATTTCTT